ATAGAATAGAATAGAATAGAATAGAATAGAATAGAATAGAATAGAATTCTTTATTGGCCAAGTGTGATTGGACATACAAGGAATTTGTCTTGGTGCATATGCTCTCAGTGTACAGTCAAGAATCATCAGGTACAACACTTAATAATAGTCATAGGGTACAATAAGCAATCAAATCATACTAGGAAACAATCAATATAAATCGTAAGGATACCAGCGACAAAGTTACAGTCGTAAGTGCGAGGGGATGGGTGATAAGAAGTGATGAGAAGATGAACAGTAATAGTAGTGCAGACTTTTTTTAAATGTTAGGTATCCATTTAATAATAACCTAGAAAGTATTCCAAGTATTGAATGATACCATGCTTAAAAGGGGTTTATAATGATATTTGGAGCATCAAGGAGCCCATTTTCGTTCAGAATTATGCAGATTAAATGAATCCATATGCATGAGACTGTTGTTACCTTTATGGTTGGGTATCATAACAATTAGGTACATTAAAACATCTTGTGGGAATTGTTTACTGTTAATTGTGTTTTGGAAGATGGCAACAATTTCAGTATGTCCTAGACTTTCCAATACCCCCATTCATTTCTTTAGAATCTCGCTGGGGGAATTCAGCTGCGTGTCTTTTATGACTCAGAGGTTTCAGATTATTATACTTTTTTGAGAAGTGCATAATAAATTGGAAAGGTTTGCCTCATCTCCTCTATGCGACAGAAATACTATTATGATAGAAATCAGGTGACAAATATTAGTGTGTGATTATTTGTAAATAATACATATATATTACCAAGTCTGCATAAAATCCACCAATGATATGGATATCCTTTCTTTTTATTTCACTGGTCTCTCCAACTCTGGGCTGTTCCTTCTGATTGCCAGCCGAGCTGCTCTAAATCCAGACATTCAGTTTTTCTTGGTCCTGTTACCGGCAGTTTCTTTTTAGCTCAAATGCTGGGAAACTGAACCTTGGCGTTTTCTGCCCCCAAAATATGTGCTTCTGCCATCGAGCTATGTATTTATTTACTATATTTATATCCTGGGCCTTCAGCAGCTCAGTGTTCCCGAGGCAGCCTACAATTAAAATGATTTTTTTTAAAAAAAAAAACAAAGTACACAAAAACGAAACAAAACAGCAATAAAAATCCAGCACATGAAATGCACCCTGGGATGTGGGGTGGGATGAGGTTCCTTTAGGTAACATCAATTGCTGTGGGAAGATGCAGTTGGAATTGTCGTTCCCTTCATGGGTCCATAATTCCAGATGTTGCAAAAGCCCTGAATTAATACTAGTTCTTGCACTTCTAGATTAGTGTTTCCCGGCCTTGTAACTTTAAGCAGCCTGGACTTCAACTTTCTAACGTTTTCCTCCAGAGCGGCAAAGCAGAAGTCGGAATGGTCTTTTGCCAGCTTTGGAGTCTTAAACTGATGCTTTCAGAGACCATAACATTTCTTCTTTCAGAGGTTAAGGGGACACAGCAAGTTATTTTGAGATCCATGCCTTTAAGGATTGGAACTTGATCATGGTGGCTTGGCGTAAACTACTAAGGGAAATGTTGTTAGAAATAATATGTAAACTTTATTCAACCAATGTCACCTTTTGAGTTTTGCTTGGTAGATTTTGAAGCTGACTGAGCATGTTATAAAATGGAACATACTCTCTCTTGGAAGAAAGCCAATAAATTGTCCCCATACCTTTTGGTAGACCTGGCTGAAGCCTTTTCTTTCACACCTTTTTATGTGAAGAGAAGAACACCCAAGCAGGGAGATATTAAAGCAAACAAAAATGCATTTCGATATGAGCCCGTCTTGACAGTATGATGCTCCTAGCAGTTTAATCAAGATGGGCTTAGAACGCTGGAGCTCACTAAATGTTACAAATTACTGAAAGCTTTATTAGTCATTCTTTTGATTCTTCTTCTGTAGCCAAACAAGAGTAGGGAAATATATGCAAACAAAAATGAGAGCAATACAGATCAAAGCAATCACAATGATCATAGTTAGAGTTGCTGCCTTAAGCATCGTGGATAATACTGTATTCTTTTCCAGTCTTGCTGGGAAGATTCAGACTTCAGTTTTGAAGCACAAAAGGTCGAACTTTGGCTAAGTCTTGGCTAGGACCAAACGAAAAAGCTCTTATCAAATGGATCAAACAAGGGTAGATAGGAGCAACTGTCCAGAGTTCTGAAAACTGGGGTCGTCTCTACCAAATCCATTCAGGCAGAACATCTTCATATTTCAGCAGTTAAATTAAGCAAGAATAAACCAGAAAAGCAAATGTTCACGGTTAGTAACAAGGCTTTCCCAGTTCTTTAACCAGCCATTGTTTTCATCTCTTCAGAAACCAAGCATCAACATTTCCTCTGGCTTAGCAGCACCCCAAAAGTAAAAATTATGCTGGCTGGCCAAAGCTCTTGGATAACTTCCTAAATTTTCTGCCTTAAATGTCAAATGGCTTCTAAGAGAGGGATTAACCCACCCAGCACATGATATTTGGGACAGGTTTGTTTTGCCAGGGTGGATAAAAATCGATGGGTTTTTTTAAAATAATAATAATAATAATTTTTTTTAAAAAAACTGGATTTTTTTAAAAATTCTAATCGGATTTTTAAATTTTTTTATCAAATTTATTTTAATAAAATGCTTTTGGAGTAAAAAGTAAAGGAAGTAAAACAGATCGTTTTCTATTTAAGATCTATTAATAATTCAGTTTATTCAACATGAAATGGAGCTTAGTTATGTAGCCTGAGGCTGTATATTCTACAATATTTACATTTTGGGTAAACTCACTTCAGTGAATCCAAGCTCTGCAAGCTAAATAGGAAACCTTCATTTTTGTTTGCAAATAATAATATTAAAGATTCTAACTACCAGCAAGAATGAGCCCTTAATTTCAAGAGCACCTGTCATTTCAGATCCATCATGGCAGCTCCTGTTGGTGGGCATCCACTCACCTGCTACCTGCGACATTCCTCACCTTGTTGTATCCCTGCTACATCTCCAGCTATCCCATTAAAGTGAATGGGATTGTCACTGAGTCAACAGCGGATCAGAGGAGGAGCCGCTGCAGGACAGAATGACAGTCGCTCTTTAAAAATTTAGGATTTAAATCGAGTTGATTTAAATCAAGCCTTTCTACTAGTCATTTAAATCATGATTTCTACTAGTGATTTAAATCAACTTGATTTCAATCAAATCCATCCTGTTTGTTGCAGATGAGTTGCTTAGTTATGCATCAAATGCAGTTCCTTGTAAAGCTGGCTTTGTCCCTGATTAGAATAGAGTAGAGTAGAGTAGAGTAGAGTAGAGTAGAGTAGAGTAGAGTAGAGTAGAATAGAATAGAATAGAATAGAATAGAATAGAATAGAATAGAATAGAATAGAATAGAATAGAATAGAATTCTTTATTGGCCAAGTGTGATTGGACACACAAGGAATTTGTCTTGGTGCAAATGCTCTCAGGGTACATAAAAGATACACTCATCAAGAGTCGAGAATCATAAGGTGCAACACTTAATAATAGTCATAGGGTACAATAAGCAATCAAATCATACTAGGAAACAGTCAATATAAGTCGTAAGGATACAAGCGACAAAGTTACAGTCATACAGTCACAAGAGGGAGGGGACGGGTGATAAGGAGTGATGAGAAGATGAATAGTAATAGTAGTGCAGACTTTGTAAATAGTTGGATAGTGTTGTGGGAATTAGTTCTTTAACAGAGTGATGGTATTCGGGGGAAAAACTGTCCTTGTGTCTAGTTGTTCTGGTATGCAGGGCTCTATAGTGTCATTGTGATTCAATTAACAACTGAGGCAAGGAAGGTCGTAAAATGCAGCCCTGGATTTTTAGCATAATTTGGATTATTTTTCCTCTCACAGGTTGAGAGAGATTTTGAACGGGAATATGGAAAACTTCAACAGTAAGTATTCTTAGCCATTTCATTCGGGTGGGTGTACTTTCTTGGCTCTTTTCTCCTTACATTTCTTCCTTCCTTCCATTTATGTTCCTTTTCAGACTGACAGGCTCTCAGAGCAGCTTACGGAATAATAAGAAATTGCTCGTAATCAAAAATGACATGACATTAGAGGAGAGGAAACAAGATAACTTAAGCACCGGTGCTTAATGTTTATTGTTCCTATAAAGGCTTAAGTAGGATGGAAATGGGGCTACAGAGAGAGACCTAGATTAGGGGTCTCCAACCTTGGCCATTTTAAGACTGGTGGACTTCAACTCCCAGAGTTCCTTAGCCACATCCAGAGTTGATTATCTTCTCGCCAACAGTTATTTGTTTTATTTAGTTAGATACAAGACTCATACATCACTCAAGGCAGTTCACAAATCTATAAAACATGGTTAATCACAGTTTAGTCTTAGTCCTTCATTTCAGGATCTGATTTGTTTTTCAATTGCTTGGTAGCCATTGTTTCCCATGCCTGCCTTGTATTTGAACAATACACAAGAAAATTTGAACCTTTTATTCATATTTCTCAACCTTGGCAACTGTAAGATAGTCTGGACTTCAACTCCCAGACTTCCTCAGCCAGATTTCCCCAGCATGGCTGATTGGAGAATTCTGGGAGTTGAAGTCCAAACATCCAACAGTTGTCAATGTTGAGAAAACCTACTTAGATTGATCAGGGTAAGAGTCAGTCTCCCCAAATCATAATAATTGCATAAGACACCATTGTGATATTCTGTGTGTGAGGGACAATAGACATGTAATTTTATCTGAGCTGTTCCTTCCCAACATTAAATCAATCAGCCTTTATTTACTGTTATAATGTCAGCAGTCTCCAAGATACAAGGGACTTACAGTATTGTTCTTTCTACTTTTCTCACCTAATTGACCAGTTTTCAGCAGCCTGGAGAGAAAAGCTCTAGGATTTCTCTCTATTTCTTCATTATTTGATACAGTTCCTGTTACTGACTCGGTTGGGCAGGAATTCTGTGACAAAATTGTCTCCCAAAGAGGAAGTGTGAGCCACTGACATTCCCCTGTTGGAGACTGACTCCAAGGGAGAGGAGGAACAGCCGACAGGGAGTGGAAGTGTTGCTCCGGGGGTTGTGGAGGAGGCTGGGGAAGGGTAAGGCCGACTGGTCAGTCAGAGAAAGACCCAGGCCCATCCCCTCTCCATCCTAGGGCACGCAGGGAGAAGATAAGGGAGAGACCTAAATGGCGTGGTCTACGGGGGAGGAAAGGGCATTGAGCCTCTTTATGGGCTGCAGCTGTGAGAACTGATTGAAAGGATGGACATGTGTATGGGCCAATGCTGGAAACAAAGCGTGGAAATATCTCTAGTCTGTCGTTCCTCTCTGAATTTGGCGTCCTTCCCAGTCTGTATTCCAATATCTGTGGATGTCTTCAAGCCCTTATCTTGCCGGGTTCCCTTAATTGCTTCAGTGTGGTTTGTATTGTTTTTTTTACTCTTTATAATTTATAGGCATTTCCTCCTTTTCCTAACTGCTTGTGGGGGAGTTTTTCTGTTTCCAGTCAAGGATATTTGAAGAAGCTTGGAAGCAAAATGAAGGAATAAAAGGGGCTTCACCTGTTTTTGTGACTGTGTTTATTTCGTATCCCACCCTGGGTCATCACAGCCACTTCTTTTAACTCTTCACTTGGAAAGTACGAATATTTGTTTGCACACAAGGAGAATATAAGAGAGGTCTCCCAAATCCATGTTGGTTTAATTAGTTAATTACACACTAATTAATTCATCTGTTTAATTACATGGTGAATATGCAACAAATACTTTTAGACAACGTATAGAAATGAACAGAATCCAGTGTCTTGGCACGAGATGGAAGTTAAGAGTTACACAGGAAAAGAAAAACATTTTTGTTAAAACGATACAGTAATGATAGAAACTGCAAGCACTTAGATCATATGCAGTTATTTTTATGCTCACATCCTGCATACTGAATTCCATTTGTGCTCTTACTTGATTTCTGTTCTGTAAGCTACTGGGGAGTATCCTTGGGAACAGGGATTTGCCTTGATGCCTTTTCAGTGGTACAGGCAGTCCTCATCTTACATCCAGTTGCTTAGCAACCATTCAGAGTTACAACAGATCTTCCTACCGGGTATTTACAACCTGGATTCAAAGTTCTGACGGTCCTACCACCAACATCACCACATTTATGAGCGTTTGCAGCAGCATCCCATTAGTGTATGTATGTCTGTGGATAAGATAGAGAGACAATAGACAGACAGACAGACAGAGAGACAGAGAGACAGACAGAGAGACAGACTGGATGGATGGATGGATGACAAATGGATGGATACATGATACCGTAGAGATAGAAAGATAGAGAGAGAGAGAGAGGAGAGAGAGAGAGAGAGAGAATCGATAAATAGATAGATGATAGAGATGATAGATGGATGGACAGATGGATAGATGATAGATAGATAGAAGATGGGTGTGGAGAGAGAGAGAGAAACTTCTCCACATGTCAAAATGTGTTGAAAATATGGCTTTTCCAACCACCCTTTGGAAACCAGTATCTACAGTTTGCTTTCTATAGTTGACAGTGGAGTTGTTTTCCGTTTTACTGATATGTTTAGAAATAGTATGATGCTTAATGGGTTTTTCATTATTCTTGGATTTGTAAGCCACCTCGAGACATAATGGTGGAGGTGTAGAAATACTGTAAATTAAAAAGCAAGTTATCAGGGCCAAGAGAAAGCCCGAGCTGATTTACATTAACATAATGACTCCCCAGGTATGCAGTACGTTCCCTCTTCTGTCACATTAAGTATGACAGTTGCTTTGGGAGTTCTGTATGGTTCTTTGCAAAGCATGTACAAAATAAATCTGCAGAAGCAGGGTTATCCATAGGGAGATCAAAGGACCGCCTGTTTTTACTGCAGTTCGTTGCAGGTGCAATTCATGTTAAAAAGGAACAAAGGATACAACTATGAAGTCAACAGTCGTTTGTGCATATCATCACAGAAGGAGCAATTTTGGTCTAAGTGTGTTGGTCCTCCTGGGCTCAATGCATATAACAGTTCAGTCCTCCATGACAAATTGATGGAAAAGTTAGGAAAAGCAGAATTCTTGTTTACTAAAACTTCCTATATCTGAAGATCTCCCAACGGTTCTTCCTGATCATGTTGGCCATGGAATATATATTCCCTGTGTTTGTCCTTTTCGAGTCTTCTCTGTTGGCTGCTATATATCACAAACCAAAATCCAGCCACTGCCTTCTCCCTTCTCCTCTGTTTCTCCCTTCTTGTCATTTGCAGTTTGTTTTGCACTGAGAAAGACACAGAGAGAGAGAGAGAGAGAGAGAGAGAGAGAGAGCTTTAATTATATGCGTTTTAAAACAAAACTATTTTTTCTATTTATAGGTTGGAAGATCAAACGAAGAAGCTCCAAAAAGATATGAAGAAAAGCACAGATGCAGATCTAGGTATGCGAATCTGCTGTACTAAGTGAGATTTGAGCCATTTTTGATTATTTTTTTCCCCTAGGCCCCTTATTCTGAAGTGCATATTTAGCCACAGTTCATTAAGCCTCTGTTGAGGTTTTTTTTTCCCACTGGTCAAAAAATGTCCCCTTCTATTAAACAAAAAAAAAAGTCTTATAAACTATATTTTACAAACTGATTAGCACAAAGGAATAACGAATACTTTCCAACAGCCTGTAAAAGAAAAATTATCCAGGGAATTCCTGATTAAGGCTGGATTTAACTTGGTTTGGACACTGTGATAAGCGTAGGAAGCAGGGAGTAAACTGGCAGTCATGTCTTCTGTTTGTTCTTTTCCTACTGACACAGCTGTTGGCTTCTGAGATTTTGGAGAGAAACATCTGGAGTCCAGGTGTTGATTTTCTCCTGCCCTTTTGTCCTTTTTGTGTTGTGTTCTGTGGCATCTCCAGTAGGAGCCCCATCCCATCCCATCCCATCCAAAGTGGCATCTAAGCAAACTGAGAGGAGAGAAATGTAGATAAAGAACTAAGTAAGGGCCCTAAAATAATGATAGAAACAGCCCAGCAGCTTTTTACAACTCCTAAAGTCGACAGTAGGTATTTTGCTATAGCTGCAGACTGTAGAAAACAAAACAAAAAGTATACTCCATGTTCCTCTGATCCTAAAAAAAAAGTCCCTGGTCTTCTTTGTTCTCACATTATTTTGAAGATTAAAATTAACGCGTGGCCAGAGCAAAAATCAAGCCGAGAATGAAATGAAACAAAAAGGTCAGAATGAAGGGGAAAATGCGCATTTTTTTTCCTAGAAGAAAAAATAGGATTTTGTCATCAGTGAAACCATAAATGTCACTTCCCCAAATGAGAAAGTGAGGAACAGTTTTAAACTTTAGGGTGGTTCACTGTCTGCCTCCTAATAATGAATAAAAGCATTTAAATAAATTCTGTTTTCTTTGGTTTTCTTAGAAACCAAAAAGCTTTTATGAGTCTGAATGTTCATGTAATTTTCTGAACATAGGATTCATCTATGCATAAATTCAGAATCTGAACTTCTTTCTGGTTCTGAGTTGACCCAGAAATTCTAGTAAAATGCAGAGCAATCATCTGTACCATTATGGTTTTAAATATGAAAAGCTGGTGCTCTGCTTTTCCTTGTAAATAGAGGTAGCATTAGCCCCCAAATTAGGAATATTTTTCCCTTTCTCCTATTTTCTGCCTTCCTTCCTTCCTTCCTTCCTTCCTTCCTTCCTTCCTTCCTTCCTTCCTTCCTTCCTTCCTTCCTCCCTCCCTCCCTCCCTCCCTCCCTTCCTTCCTTCCTTCCTGCCTTCCTTCCTTCTTCCCTCCCTCCTTCCCTTGCAGGGAATTCCTTTTCCTTCTTTTCAAGGGGCATCAATGCTGGATCAGCCCTGAAAGATTTGTGAGAAGACGCTTCTCCCAGACTGCTCCTTCTTTCAGCTCTGAAGCATCGTCACAAGTTTACCTATTATACCACCTAAAAGCCACACATTATTTTGCATTTAAAGATGCACCGTCCCAATCTCTGGAGCTGGGGCAATCTTCTGTTTGGTTTGTCCTTCTTGCTGGTAACAGAAACTGGAAACACTCCAATCTGTTCAAAGGGGGTTAGAGGAATACCTCCAAGTCCCACTCCTCTCTGATAAATAATTGAGAGATGTACCAATGGAAGCTGCCAGTGAGCCGTTGCCAGAGCCAAGAACTGAGGCAGAGACTCCCTTCTGTTCTCTCTTCCCTACTCTCTCTACGAGTGTCATCAATCTCTTAATGTCATCAGTGTCCAATGATGGAAGATTGATCATTTGATATATTCTAGAATAATGGAGTTAGGACCTTGGAGGTCTTCTGCTGGAGCAGGAGAGCCTGTTATCATTCTTTACAAATGGCTGTCCAGTCTTTTTTCTTTGAAAGCCTCCATAGAGGCTCCACAGCATCCGAAGGCAAGCTCTTCGACTGGTTGTTTGCTCTCACCCTTAGAAAATTTCTCCTTAGTTCCAGGTTGCTTCTCTCCTTGGTTAGTTTCCAACCATTGTTTCCCCTTCTTGCCTTTTGGTGCTTTGGAAAATAACTTGAGCCCCCTCGTCTTTGTAGGGTCACTGTGGGTTCAAATCTCACAGCAAAAAAAAAAAAAGTAGCTTTTCAGCATTATTGCTATATGCACCTGAGAAACAAGTCCCATAATTTCTGAAGTCCGTGTATGTCAAAACGACTGCAGGTCACAAAATATTATCCATCGAAGACAAAGTAGGGACACTTTCCCCAGCCAGCCCTTGTATCCCCCCGAGAATGTTCTCCCTGTCGTTTCATCTTACATTTTCCTTTATTTTTTCCCCTTTCTGGAGAAATGGGCCCATCTATGAGCAAAACATTGAACTAAATGAAGTTCAAAACTCGATGGTGACAAAGGGCTTGCGTACCAATTCACGTTAATTCCTGTTAATTTTAAGACATGCATCCTATCTTTAAAAAGTCTTCAGGGACCCAAGGGCAGCCAGAAAGCTGTATGAGTACACATTTATGCCCTAGCGCCTGTGAAATTTGAACCCAGGTTCAGTTAAAATTCATGGATGCTCCTTTGCAGAGAAGAGCAACACAAATGATTAGGGAACTGGGGGCTAAAACATACGAAGAACGGTTGCAGGAACTGGCTATGTCTAGTCTTGTGAGAAGGAGGACAAGGGGAGGAGACATGATAGCAGTGTTCCAATATCTCAGGGGCGGCCCCAAAGAAGAGGAAGTCAAGCTATTCTCCAAAGCCCCTGAGGGCAGGACAAGAAGCAAGGGATGGAAACTCATCCAGGAGAGAAGCAACTTAGAACTCAGGAGAAATTTCCTGACAGTGAGAACAACTAACTTGCCTCTGGAAGTTGTGGATTCTCCAACACTGGAAGTTTTTAAAAAGATGTTGGATAACTATTTGTCTGAAGTGGTGTAGGGTTTCCTGCCTAGGCAGGGGGTTGGACTAGAAGACCTCCAAGGTCCCTTCCAACTCTTGTTATTCTATTCTATTCTATTCTATTCTATTCTATTCTATTCGTCCAGCCTTGGTTCTGGGAAAGGATGCTCCTCTGCTTTGCTTTTAAAACTGTCCCCAGGACAAAATGTTCTAAAATGTGGTTTTTAACACCGTAGCAACCTAAATGTTTTCCCGTATATAAATCTAAACTGCATTCGTTGGGATTTTACACCTTGCAAACTTTGCTTTGCCTTCATTATCTTGTCACAGCTGCCAGAGGGTTTTTATTTGGGGGTGGGGGGTGGGGTAAAACTACCGAAAGCTGCGAAAGCTTAATCGGTTGCGATTTGTTGGGTTTGAAAGAGCTGCGGTGAAACAATGCAGCCCTTAACAGCTCTGAGGAAAGGCTGCCTCTGCTTGTCTAGCCACTTCTTCACAAGGAGCTTCAACTCGTGCACTTTTAATAAACGGTGCATTTAAATAATGTGGACTTGATTACACATGAGTGTGCATCCCGATGTTTACCCAAATTCATTAATAGCTCTTCTTCCAAACCACCAGTTAGCGTTCCTGGAGGTTTTCCCATTAGCATTTTTATGCACTCTGGAGTAGCTCCTCTTTATGTTTCAAGCTTATTGTGAGGTCGGGAGACAATGAATGAATTCCTGAAAAGCTGGATTATGAATCACTTGACCTATCACCAGTTCAATTGAAGAAGCCAGCTTAAGAAAAGCACAATTTGTTTTCCAGTCATTAGGCCGGCTGGCCCCGGGCAAGGAATAATTTCAGACCCTTATTTTTGCATTAGGAGAATGGAACAATGGAAGAATCACTTTTTATAAGGAGAAGGATCGTATGGGATTGTCTACCTCTCTCTAGGTCAAGGGTCTTCGAACTTGACAGCTTTAAGACTTGTGAACTTCAACTCCCAGAATTCCTCCTCCAGTCATGTTAGCTCAGGAATTCTGGGAGTTGAAGTCCGCAAGTCTTAAACCTGCCAAGTTTGAAGACCCTTGCTCTTGGCAGAGCCTGATAGGAATGACGATAAAATAATGGATGTAGTGCCAGTTATGTGGCCAGATGGGAAACAGTTACCATGAATCCGGGGCTCATAATCTTTTCTCTCCTTTCAGTACTATCCGGTTTGAGTTTCAACAATGAGACTGCCAGCAGGTGGCAGCGAAGAGACACCATGCTAACTCTTTGCTGCCCTCTCTGGCAGCAGTAGTGATTTTTGTAGTCATGATCTCATGATATTTTTTGACGGAATTGCAGGAAGACATTTAGGAACATTTATGGCTCTTGTAAGTTATTGGGTCATACGCTTGTAGAGGTTATTGGAAGGATGGTTTTGGGAAAACAGTCTAAAGCGAGAAGTCCTTGATGCTCAGATGTTTCATGTTAGCAAGGAAGCAACCAAGCTCAGAGAACACCCAAGGAGACCCCGCTTTTCAACCCTGAGCAACGAATATTCTCCGTTGTTGGAACCTAAGCTCAAACCATTATTTGAAGTTGGTTTATTTTTATTCATTAGATCTAAGATTGCTGAAGTCACATTTTAGGAATTATGTTAAGATCAAATGCAGCATATGTGGACACAGTGGCTCAGTGGCTAAGATGCTGAGCTTGTTGATCAGAAAGTTCGGCGGTTCAAATCCCCAGTGCAGCGTAACAGAGTGAGCTCCTGTTCCTTGTCCCAGCTTCTGCCAAACGAGCAGTTCGAAAACATATAAAAAATGCAAGTAGAAAAATAGGGACAACTTTGGTTGGAAGGGAACAGCGTTCTGTGCACCTTCAGCATTTAGCCATGACGACCACAGAGACATCTTTGGACAGCGCTGGCTCTTTTGACTTTGTAACAGAGATGAGTATCGGTCCCTAGAGCCGGAAATGACTAGCACGTATGTGCGAGGGGAACCTTTATCTTTACCAAATGCGACACAGTTAATCTAAAATGAAACTGAAAGCAATCAATCGGGACATTCACCGGAGAGGCAGTAGCTAAATGTAATTCATGGTAACATCTGCCTGTGTTGTCCAAGTCTTAAAGTTGCCAAGTTTGGGAACCCCTGATCTAAATCAATGTGTATCTCTTAACAGCATCAATCCTTAATCAATTTCTCCTTGAATTCTATCCCAAATATAGCCATGTCAAAGTCTGCTGTAAAAATCTCATCTGATCTCTTGGCCAATCCTCTTTGTGAACAACACCCTCAATTTCTTGAAATGGTGATGGCTCTGGACACAGCAATGAAAAGAATGGATTCCTTTAACCAGGAGAAGGTATGTTTTCCTCTGGATCCATTCCTTAAGGAGGAAGGAGAAGTTCTCCAAGTTTGACATCCTTAATTGTGAAGTTTTCCTCGATTGTTCCATAGTTCTTGTCAAGATTGTATTACTGACTTTTTATTAGAGGATGTGCAAAGAAGATACAGATGTTCATGACTGGTATTGTACAGTACCGGCAGCTACACCCGTATAGAGCTGTGTATGCATCTCTCAGGATTTTAAAAAATCACTTAAAGTGATTACAGAGTGAAATTTGAAATAATGACAAAGAACAAAATAGGCAATTAGTACTTAGCAATTTGAGATTTAGAATAGTAATTGCCACAGAACAGTCTTTCTCAATCTGTGCTTCTCAGGCTGGGATTTGCCAGCCAGGTGAATTTGCACAATTATTAGATGTAAATCAACTTCCTGAATTTAACAGAGTTGAGGTAATTATTTTGGCTTATCTCTTGTGGGTGGCACGAGCTGTATCAACCCAACTTCTGTCAGTGTTCACTGACTTTGGCTGTTTTCCTGCACTGATGGTATTATTGCCTTTAGCCTGGTGTTGAAATAGCTGCAGGAAAACAACCAAGCTCAGAGAATATCAGAAACCAATAGTTCAACCCTGAACCTCATCTCTTCTCTATTGTTGATATTCAACTTTTGCCTTGTGTGCTTATTCATGATGGCTTTTTATATTTTGCTGTTTTGTTTGTTTTTAAAAAGTTTCATTAAAGGTTTTATAAACCTTTAACCATTTAACCCAAACTTTTAACCATTGTTTTAAAAACAATGATTAAAACTAATACTGATGTAAAATAAAAAAGATCAAAGAGAAAGCTAAAAGCACAAGAAAGAAAGAAAAAGAGAAGAGCAAGAGAGAAAAAATACAAAGAAGTTACTTCCAATCTTCTTTGTAGCAGCTATAAATATCTCTTACTCTAAGATTGCAACGTGACTCTTTTCTTTCTAGTACCTATCCTGTCCAGTCATCAAACCCATAAATCATTGAGTTGATTTTGTTCTGTTTTACATAAAAATATACATAAAAGGTTTCCAGCCAGCAATAAATATAGATATTATACTTTCTCTAACCAATGAAGTCAATTTGACCATCTCAGCAAGTTCCATCATCTTCACCAACTAGCCATTGTAGATATCACTATATCTTTCCATCTTTGTGCACACAGTACAAAAACAGAGTTCCATAAATTCCCTCACCCCCCAATTGTTGGTCCATCATTCTGGCTGTTTATATTTTGGACTAATTTTAAGATTTTTATGTTATATTATGAACCACATTACCATAACAACAATCTCATATGATGAGTACCGAATATAATGAACACTGACAGAATTGGAGCAAGAGTAGATCCATTAAGAACCAAGAGAGCAAACACCAACGTATTTAGAAAAACCTTTACACTTAGCTAAACTGGTTTTTGTAAAAAAAAAAAATCCCAACAACTAAAAAGAAGCAAAATTCTGGTGAAGATTTAACACAGTAGCTACAGAATACTTCATTTAGCTGGAAATGAAAACATGGAAAGGAGAACCAGAGTGGAAAAGACAATATTTGGAAAATATGGAGTTGGATATAAAGTTCCATGGGTTCAAATCAGTGTTTCTCAATCTTGAAGATGTCTGAACTTCAAATCCCAGAATTAAAATGTGGAATTCTGGGAGTTGAAGTTCAGATATCTCCAAGTTGCCAAGATTGTGAAAGATTGGTTCAAATGATCTGCCTTGTTGGTTACTGAAAACATTTCTTCTTCTTCTTCTTCTAACAGGTGAATCAAATCCAAAAAACAGTCATAGAGCCCCTGAAAAAGTAAGTTGTGATGTTTCCATATAAGCAACAATCTTTTGCAATCTTTTACAGATGAACGTGATTTAACATGGGGAAAAGTAACTTGCTCTCCCTCAAGGCTTATTGGGTGAAACCTTCAGCTTGTGAAATTCTGCAGATCCCAACTTGTGCTTAGAAAAACAACAAACCCGGAATTTCTAGCCTTTGTTTTAGAGAGAATGTGCAAGCAAAATACTGTAGTAGAAAAAAATTAGGAGTGAGTGTATATTAAAAAAAAAATCACCATCAAGCTATTTCAGCTCTTTGCTCATTTGCTGATAGATTAAAACATCTTCCATTATTTATTTATTTAGTGTATGGCATACAATGTCAGGGAAATTGCACAAGCCAGATACACACAGCAGTCCTGACAGTCTAAATTGCTAATTCATTTTGTTTGGCGGTTGCATGCCTGTTTTTGGTGCACCATAGGGGGCAAACTAGCTTCGCACAAGTGTGAAGCTAGTTCTGCTCTCAGCACACACGAACGTAGCTAAAAAAAAAAAAAAAATCCCCTTACCAAAGTGGTACCCATTTCTCTACTTGCAATATTGCCTGCTTTTGCTGGGCGAGCAGGAGCTACGGAACGAGTGACAGGAGCTCACTCTGTCTCATGGAGCGGGACTCGAACCGCCCGAGCGCAGATCATTTCTGGCCGGCAGTTCCAGCGTCATTAAGCCTCTGTGCCACCACATCCCAAAAGCCAGGGCTGTCAAACTCACGTCGTCGTCACGTCATGTATTGCAACCTTTTCCCCCTTCACTAAACCAAGCCTGGGCATGACCAGCGTGTGACACATACGGGCTGTGAGTTTGACACCCCTGCCCTACCCTATTGCAAAAAGGGGTTGAATCAGAGGTGGTATTCCGCAGGTTCTGACCAGTTCTGGAGTAGTGGAAATTTTGAGTAGTTCAGAGAACTGGCAAATACCATCTCTGACTAGAGATTTTATAGTATCCTTTCCCCTGCCACGGCCACCAAGTCACGCCCACAGAACCGGTAGTAAAAAAATTGGAATCCCACCACTGGATTGAATGTAACATTTTCTATACGAAAGATGTATTTCTATATGAAAGATTTAATTCATTTAATTAAAGCAGAGGTCTCCAAACTTGGCAAACTTTAAGACTTGTGGACTTCAGCTCCCAGAATTCGCCAACCAGCTATGCTATGCTATGCTGGCTGGAAAATTCTGGGACTTGAAGTCCACAAGTCTTAAAGTTGCCAAGTTTGGGGACCCCTGAATTAAAGTATGTATTATTATTATTTTTTGTTAAAGGTTTGGGTAAGTTTGAACAGATTTTGAAACTCGGTACACAATTCATTTCCCTGCAAGCTGCTCAAAAATCTCTTCTATTATTATTGTCAGGCTTGAAATGGAACCAGTCATTCTATCCCTATCTAAATGAAGTTTTTTGAGTAGCTGGTCCCAACTTTGGGGCTGGGGTAGAAGGTTGGGCAATCTAATTGCAAGAAATTTATCAACTTCCTGTTAGGAATAGCAGCCTTCTTCCTGAAACTGGAGGGGGAAAAAAAATAAAAAAAATATTCTGTTTAAAAGCGCATTTTAGCCATGCATATATTCAGATATGTAGGGGTTTTTTTTTTATTACTGTGACTTTCTTTTTTGTGTTTCTTTTAAAACTCATTAGCATTTACTTGAGCATCTGAGACTCTTTATAAGAGAACTTCTATTGCTACAATCAAACGATTGCCGAAATCTTTAGATTCACTTTTGTTGTATTACAAGGAAGTTGTGTGAGCGAGAACAAAATGGCTTTAATAAGACAAGCAAGTGAGGCAAATTGCTCAGTAACACCTTTTGTTTCGTGTGACATTTTTCCTGCTTCTCGGTGAAAGCAGCATAGCCTAAGGCAGTTAGGGTTTATTGCCTGCTAGGAATGGATCGGGATTTGGGAGCAAGGTGGTTTGAAGGTGCTCTGGAATTTTGTAGGATTTCTTTTTTTTTTTTTTTCCATCTTCCTCCTCCTCCAACCTCTTGGTTGAAACCATAGACAGGTTTGGAAGCTTGCTGGACAAAATTGACAGAAAGTTCTGGAGTTCACAGGAGGATTTGTCGTCTTCGATAGTCTTCCTCCACCTGATGTCCTGAGGAAACTATAGAGTTTCCTGAGAATCATTTTGCAGGTATACTGTCTTTTTTGCTTCTCAAAGAAGCACCTTTATGTCTTCCAAAAGTGGATGGAAATTATCTGTGCGCAGTCTAAAGTTTTTGGCATCTTATGGAGTGAATATTGCCAAAGCCCTGCCCACCCGCCAGCCCCCAACTGCTGGCCATTTTTTGCCTCCACACCCCCCATTTTCAACCTATGTGTACCCTGTTTTCGGCCTCCGCATGTCCCATTTTCAGCATCCGCGCGTCTTGTTTTCAACCTCCGTGCCCTGCACCTTTTCAACCTCCGCGCGCCCCGTTTTCGGCCTCTGCGTGTCCCATTTTCAGCGTCCCTTCATTCCTCCCTCCCTCCGTTCTTTCCTTCCATCCTCCATTCCTTCCTCCCTCCTTCCATTCCTCCCTCCCTCCATTCCTTCCTCCTTCCATTCCTTCCTTCCTTC